TATTGTCTTATTTACTTTAATTATCACATATTTATAAGCTAAAGATTACCCCATTTCATAAATGACAAGACAGATGGAGAGAAGTTAATTATTTGCGCAAATAAGAGAAAAAAAACTTTAGAAATATGACAGATGTGAGGAGGAAAATAGGAAGGAGATTTGCATAACTTTATGTCTAATAAAATAGATTTTTTAAAAATAAGCATTTAAGAAAATTGAAATATCATTAATAAGCTTGACTACATTTGGACTCTGGCCTTCAGTTTTCTCCTTTGTAAAAGGGGGTGGGGCTTCCTTCCTGCAGTAACGTTCTGCGTGTGGTAAGGGGGTGCTTCCTTTCAGCAAACTGCCTTGCAGGTTGGAGCTATTTGTGGAGCTCTTGGAATTTCCAGAGCCTGATTCTAAGGGCTGAGATGTTCATCCCAGAACTCTGACTCCATTGGAAGCAAGACCAAAATTCCCCCTTCGAGCTCCTCCAGTTCAATCTCATGCAGTCTCCTGGGAGGGGCTGCTGGGATCCATCCACCCACCCAGCGTCCTGGGTCGGTGTTGGAACCTGGCAGGCAGAATTATTCATTAACACACAAATGGTAGCTGGGTGCTCTCCTGGTGACCCTCACTCTCCCTCCTCTGGCTAACTGGGTCCCTGTGGGGTAAAGCCCTGGGCAGGGCTCCTCTCGGGTCGTCTGCTTCTGGAGATAAGTGTTGATGACTCTGTGCAGCCTCCCATTCCAGAGATAAATTTCCTATTTGGGAGGAAATCACACCCCCTCTTCCCCAGCTGAGTAGCCCTGTCTCTCCGCCTTCCAATGGTGGGAAGTGACCACACCCACTCTTCCCACCCCTGGGGGATTCCAGCATTTGAAAGTTCAGAGCTGGAAAGATAAACATCACTGCTTATCCCCTCACTCCCTCATTGTTCCTCTTCAGTAACAGAAAAGGAACAGAGAACTAGGCTGCACGGAAATTTATCCATCTGCAGGCGTTGTTAAGGGAAACCACTGCCTTAAATTACACTCATGGGCTCCTCCCTTTCCTCCTCACCAACGCCCCTACCCACCTCTTGAGGAAAACAAAACAAAACAAAATTCTGATTCTCATTTCCAAGGTGAGCAACAACAGCCTGGCCCTGCAGACTCCCTCATCCTGTATTTCCAGAGAAAGCTCTAGATTTGGGTCTGTGGAACTGTTTTCTCACTTCTAGGCTGCCTCCCTTAGAATGAGTTACTTAAGGGCTCCCTCCGTAGCTTGAGTACCTGACACATAAATCACTTTTCCTTTGCCTACTTCACAGGGTGGTTAAACAAAAGAATACACTGAACTCGAATTCTGTTCATAAATGACAAGTACATATCACTGTAAGAGCGTATCCTCAGTTCCCACCGCCTCCTTCGTGTATCTTACCTGCCAACTGAACTCAAGTCCTAATATTTTGGCCAAAAGTGGAGGGCAATTTACTTTTTCCTAAACAAGTCTTTGTTCAAATAGTTCCCTCCATTAGAAATGTCCCTTCTCCTTGACCTCTGCCTTCGAAATCCTTTCCACCCTTCCCAGTTGAGTCAGGATTCCCTTCCTTCCAAGAAGCCTCCCCATTCTGACGTCTTTTTCCAGAGCCACACTCTCTTCTGAACTCCTCCAGCCCTTCTCTGTCCCTGATTTCAGACTGACCCCATTCTGCCTTATCAAGGTCTTATCCATCTGCTTATCTCCCAAGAGACCAACCACAGTCCCAGTGCCTGGACCAGGGACTTGGCAGAGGTGATGGGAACGGGTTGGGGGGCATCTATGTCATATATATGTGTATGTACACATGGATTTATTGGGGGGAAATTTACACCTATTTCCTAAAAGAGCCAAATGAAACTCTAGAAACTGACAACTCAGAGAAGGGCAATTTGGAGAAAAAGAGAATGGCATTTCCTGAACCTGGATGAGCTGTTGACTGGATGGATCTCCGAGTGTCCTGAATGAAAGGGAAACGTGCTGGCTCGTGCACTTCTCCTTGTACAAAAACTCTGGAATCAGGCTGGAAAGGGATATTTTTCCTGGCACTGTGTTCAAGGAGAAATTTATCAAGTGAGTCCTTATGTAACAGACATGAGGTAACACAGTGAACAGCATCTCCAACTGGCATTTTGCAAAAGGATACAAGTGTCTTCAGATGGGCAATTCCTGCAAGAAAATGAGATGACAAGGCCCACATCCAGAGCTTTCTCTACACTTAAAGAAGTCTGGCCCGGCCAGCTGTGGCTCAGTGGTTGAGCATTGACCTAGGATCCAGGCTATCGGGGTTCGATTCCTGGTCAGGGCACATGCCCGGGTTGTGGGTTCAATCAATGACTCTCATTGATGTTTCTATCTCTTTCTCTCCCTCTCCTTTCCTCTCTCTGAAATCAATAAAGATGTATTAAAAAAAAAAAAAAGTCTANCCTTTCCTCTCTCTGAAATCAATAAAGATGTATTAAAAAAAAAAAAAAAGTCTAGAGNCCTCTCTCTGAAATCAATAAAGATGTATTAAAAAAAAAAAAAAGTCTAAACCCAGAAGAAAAAAAAGTTGGTGGTCTGTTTAATATTTGATCTCAAATACCACATATAGATCCATTTTAAGGATCTTGGAGGTCAGTTTGCAGCAGCTTGACGCAGGGAACTGGGGCCGACTCCTGAGGGGCTGATACGCGCTGAGGTGGGCAGGACTCTGTGTTCGAATGTTTCTCCCTCCATGCAGGCCTGTCCTGGATGCTGTCATGGGGATCCACTGCTCATCAGGAGAGCATGCCCAGGTCTGGTTAGCATCAAAGGAGACTCAAGGAAAATGGGGGAGCTTCATAGGTGTCACGACAGGCAATGAGAAAGAATGGGGGAAAGACACAGATAATGACAGTAACACCAGGCCCCAGATCTGAGGGAACAACAGTGCTGGGGCTACCAAGATAGCAGACAAATATGCCTAGTTCCTGCCTCAGGTGGAGCTGAGCCAGAGTGTAGGAGCCTTGGGGTGTCCACCTGTGAGTTTCCGAGGAAGGAAAGATGGGGACTACCCATCTCAACTCCCTCATGATGGAAGAAACTGAGGCCCACAAAAAGGAACTTAAGCCCAAGAGCTCACAGATAAAATTCTTACACTCTTCAGTTCTAAGTTTTGTATCTACGTGTAAAGGGGAGCACCTACCTTCCAGGGCCTCACCAACACAGCCTCACCAAGAATCAACTACTGAGATATCTCCAGGGTTTTCAGTTTGAAATTGGTATGTTTAGGAGGAATTGTCTCTCACTTCTCTTTCCTTTTTGTGCCTACAGTTATCACAGCACCTCCTGAAATGCCAGCTCACCTGGCTCCTCCCTGAAGGCCTTTCTGGTTAAAAAGAGGAGCCAGTCTCTCAGTATATCTGACTCCAATGAGGCCTCAGGATGAAGACACCCGGTGACCTCAGGCCACCACAGACATCATGAGATTGGTGAAGACAGACTTCCTGTTGTCCTTATCAGTAGGTGCCATAAGACAGGAGAGGTCAGAAAGACAGCATCGAATGGTCCAAGGAGGGGACAGCTAGGATGCCCAGAGGAAGAGTAATTTTGTGTCCCCTTCCCAGTGTGTGCAGTAGCTGTGTTCTGAGAGCTCCAGTGTGGGCATCTGCAGCCACGCTAGGGGGGTCCTATGAAGCACTTTCTCTGAGTTCTGTTCAACAGCATCCAGGGGATAAATCTGAAGATTCAATGCAAGTTGAGCCTGAAGTGAGGGTGTCAGATCCACTGTGCACATGAGAGTCACCGGGTGTGAGGATGCAAACTCCATCTTTTCCCACAGGAAGTGACACTGGAACCTGGTGCAACCTCCACCTCACGTTATCATCACATTACTACTACTAACAGCAACAATGATAAGAATGGCATTACAGGCATGACTGGTCAGCAGTCAACTACAAAATTGTGACCTTTTCCCCAAAGACATTAGACGTGTTTTCTTTTTTTTCCTCTCTTTTATCTTCATCCAAGGATATTTTTCTATTGCTTCTTCAGAGAGTGGAAGGGGGAGAGAGAGAAAACGATGTGAGAGAGACACATTGATTGGTTGTCTCCTGCACATGCCCCGACTGGGGCAGGGGATTGAGCCTGCAACCCAGGTACGTGCCCTTGGCCAGAATCAAACCTGGGACCCTTCAGTCCTTGGCTGACGCTCTAACCACTGAGAAAACTGGCTAGGGCCAGATATGTTTTCATTCAGCTGAAAAGTCCAGAGCATCAAAATGATTAATTAAATGGATTTTTAAAAATTCTTAATATGTTATCCTATTGAACAGCTGTCACCTCCAGCATCCACTCTGTGCCCACCACCACATCAGGCATGCTGCATTAAATGCTGCATGTGATCTGCATGGCTGTGTGGGCAATCTGTCCCCTCATAGCAGACAAACAGCACAAGGGCTTGGGTGCCACAGGGCCAGGGAAAGGAAGCTCCTAAGAAGCTACCGGCTGCCACTGCATGGTAAACCAGAAAGGAAACGTACGGCTAGATGCACCTCTCTCCTGCTCTCTATATGCAAACCTAGAGCATGACTGGAAAATATGGGATTAAAAAACCACCCTTGGAGCAGCTTCAGAAATAGAGACCCACCATGAAGTAAGGTTCCCGGAGGCAGAATCTACCAAGACCAGCCAGACCAGAAAGCCGCCTACAAATGTTTCCAACTGAACCTGCAGCCAGCCTGCTCGGGTACCTCCAAGGTGCTCTCATATAATTCACTTCACTTCATGCTAACACAGCTAGGATTTAAGCTCAGCCCCAGCACCTGCTCCTGGCCAACACTCAGATGTGAGCGAACTACTGAAACACAGGCACACCTCAGAGATACTGTGGGTTCAGTTCTGGAACACGACAATAAAGTATTACAAAAAAGTGAGTCACACGAATTTGGTTTCTCAGTACACATAAAAGTTACATTTACACTATACTGTAGTCTGTTAAGTATGCAATAGCATTGTGTCTAAAACAATGTACATACCTTAATGAAAAATACTTTACTGCTAAACTATGCTAACCATCCTCTGAGCCTTCAGCAAGTCATCTTTTTGCTGGTGGAAGATCTTGCCTGCATGTTGACAGAAACGCAGAATCTGTGAAGTGCAATCAATCGAGGTCTGCCTGTACATGACGAGGAAAGATCACAATTTCATTTTCTGGAGTTTTTTCTAAAACAAGTGTGCCCTGTTATCTTTAGGGAAGCTACTGGGTACATGCAGACGCAGCAAGAGGTAAGGATACACTAACCAGATCCTCTACTCGTTACTTCTCTTTACTTGTTCGTCTCCTTTCTGTCCTTTCCCTTTTGCTTCATTTTTTCTCCTACTCTGCATCTCTGTATCTAAAAGGGTCAGGGTCTCTGTGAGACTAGACCTCCCTTTCTGCTTCTTTCTTTCCAGCTGGGGGTCATCTGGAGCTCATGTGAGGGAGGCTATAACTCTGAGTGCATCTGTACGGGCAGGGTGCAGGGAGAAGTGAGCTCACAGGGGCTGGGAAGGGAATGGCCTTGATCTCGGCTGCAGCCTGGTTCTAATTTTAGCAACAACTGAGTGCTGGACTTCCCGGAGGTATCAGATTGCCCGGCTCTCCCTCCTGCTCTGCACTGGGCTGACACCAGACATATGGAAGAGATTCAGATTACAAGAATCACCAAATCAGGTCACACCCATAGCTCATCCGGCCAGCCGCTGTCTCAGAAAGTGGGGACAGGGTGTCTCGGACTGTCAGAGCTTAGCCATCACTAAGTTTACAGACAAGGGCAGAGGTAGAGAGGGAGACAATTATCCACATGAACGGCCAGCAGAGCCAGGTCAGAGTCCAGCCCCTCTGGCATCTAGTCTTTTCTGTTACCTGTCAGGTTGTCCTCTCAAGGTTAGGGTTGTAGCCTAAGGATATCCTCTCTCCCTTTTGAAGTGCGGGCCATACAGGAATATTTCTACATAAATTTCCCTACTATTTCTACATTTCTAATTCCATATTTTAAAATTTACATACACTGAAATGCTTATATCTTAGGTACATAATCTAATGAAGTTTGAAAAATGTGTACACCCCCATCAAGATAAAGAACCTGTTCATCAGCCCTAGAAAATTCCTTCATGCTCCCCTTCCAGTCAATCCCTTAGTCCACACCACAGTTTTGATTTCTATCATCTTGGATTAGTTTGGTTGGTTCTTAACTTCAAACAGGGAATCCTGGTGTCTAGGAGACTGATAATTCTAACTCTTAACTTCATGCGAGCCCTTCACTAGGTGGTTCCAGTTGCGTTACCTTGTCTGAACCTCCTCTTGCTGGGCTGAGTGGAAAGGACCCTTAATGAACAAACAAGTCCACAGTGATCCCTGTTATATTGTCAAATTATAAGGCACTCAGTCTCATTTCCTGCCACAAGCGAGGCTTGTACACCTGAGCATTCTCGATTCCATCCTTCCAGATCTCCTAGAACAATGTCTCCAATCCTTTCTGTTACTCTTTGCCCTCCAATTAACATGGATAATTTTCTCATTAGAACACAAGCCCAGCTCTTCATATTTTCTCCCCAATGAAGCTGTTGAAGAGTTGGTCTATAGTAACTGAATGAGGAAGCTCCTTAATTTCATTTTGTGGTCTCGCTGGGCAGGGATTTTCTATATCCTTTCTGAAAAACTTGGCAATGAACTGAGGTGTGTGTCATAACTGCTACATACTAACCTGGGTTTGAATTATAACTCTACCAGTGACTAGTCGTGTCCTTGAGACTTGCCATTGTATTTCCTTGGCAACTCAGTTACCCCCAGTAGAAAATGTGTGTGCGTTAGCAAGCAGTACCTCCTTTGGGGTATCTCTCACCTGGCCACAACTAGGGTCATCTGTGCTAGCTCTCCCCAAATGGACAATGAATCTTACCTCACTTCTCTTGCACATAGCTCATGCCAGGATGTCACAGAACTCTCACAGATGTGCTCATGGGTTTCTTGAAGGACACTTTATTTCTATATATCCAGCATTCAGCATAAGGCCTGGGACACAAAGATTAATAAATTAATTAATCAATAAATGACAATGACTCAGTCTGAGGAACAGTGGAAAATGGGTTCCCCCAAAGCAGTGGCCCGTCCCTTCCCATAAACCAGGGCATTCCTTCCCTGGTCCTGTGCCAGGACAGATCCCACAAAGAAGACCTATGACCAAAACCTACGCTAATCTTAAGTGTCTTGGTCCCAGGGTGAGGGATAGAGAAACAAAAGAACAAATTGACCTACTGAATTTTAGTGTCATTGCAGTTTGCTATCCCAGGCTTCCCCTCAACCATCTCATCTCATCTCATCTCATCTGGGTGCCCACCTTTTGGGTAATAACAACTGTGTTCTCCCTGAGCTCCATTCTACCTTCTTTTGTCTCTCAGAAGCTTACTTCATATGTCGAGCACATTGAACTATACTTAACACAAAATACAGAAACAGGCAGTTCCTTAAGGAGAGTCTTCGGTTTTCTTTATGTTGTTTTCTGTAACCATTATCCAGTCTCAGTTCCACTAAGCCCTCAACCTTTAACACTTCCCTTGGCCTCCCTGAACTAATGCTTGTGGTTTTCTTTGTTGCCTTCAGGAAGAGAAGGCGGCCTCGTGTCCTCCACACCATCACATTCTGGCATGATCTTAAATTGCTTATTGTCCAGACAGCTAATCCTGCTGCTGCCTCTATTTATTGAGGGTAACACTTGACAAGGTACTTCTTTCCCTTTTCATTTTCAAAGAAAAGAAACTCAGCTGGCAGATGTCTCCCTGGCAGGCCTCCCAGCCAACCCCACATTTGTTAAGAGCACAGGAGGGTGGGCAGGACAGGCCCTAAACTGTAACTACAGAGCCTCCAATCCAACTCCAAGACATACGTCTTCTCTGGCTGCTCCATCTGCACTGATGTGCTCCCTGGCCCTCTGGCTTCCTGCTGGGTTTGGCCAATGGGAGGCCCAGCAAGAGGGAGGGAGAAGAGGGAGGTTAGGGTTGTTTGTTCTCCAGGATTCTCTCTGTGAGCGTGCCTGCAAGTGACTGTCTCTTGACCAGAAATCATTGCTTCTCTCAAAGCATCTTCTCTACAAGACTCTCTCCCTCCAGATCCCCATAACCGGTGCCTCCCCATGTTCCTCTGAAATGTACAAGTCCCAGGTTATTATAACTCTGCTAACTTCTACACCTTCATAAATACTCCTTTACTAAATCCTGCTTATAGTATCCAAACTTGAGTGTGCCATTCATTTCTTTTTGGCAGTCTGCTTAGTAATGTATTTATAAAAACACCTGGAGGAGTGTTTATCCTGAACTTTTTTTTTGTTAATTCTTACCCGAGGATATTTTTCCCATTGCTTCTTCAGAGAGAGTGGAAGAGGGGAGAGAGAAACACTGAAGTGAGAGAGACACATCGATTGGTTGTCTCTTACCAGGGCCGGGGATCGAGCCTGCAACTGTCATACGCTCCTTTGACCAGGAACTGAACCCGTGACCCTTCAGGTGTGGGCGAATGCTCTAATCACTGACCCGCACTGGCCAGGACACTTCTTATGTAACATAACTGAGAATCTCTGGCTGGAGTTGCTCACAAAAGCCCAGGATCCCTCCATGCTCCTCTGCTTCCTGCCTACCATGATGTGGAAACAAGTTGTCTGAATTCTCTCTAGAAGCTGGGAGTTCCTGCCAGCCATTTCTTTTAGAAACACACAGAGTTCTGCTACCTTGCAGGTGAGCCCCAAAATCCATGTGAGAAGTTTCCAAGACAGTATTAGAAAAAAAGGATTCAAAACCTTTGGGGCACGTGGTCCTGAAAATGAAGCAGTCTGAACTCTAACCTGGCTCTGCCAGTGACCTACCTGCTCTGCAGCTTGTGAGAAGTTATTTGCCTCCCGAGGTCACCATGTTCCCCTGTGTAAAATGCGGGTAAGTGAACAAGAATGTCTCTTAATTCTTCCAGACTCTATATGAAAATATCTAATGTGATTACTGAGGAGGACTAGCTGCTTCTCTTTTAGGAGTCGTAGACTATACAGTGCTCTAGCCTCTGCCAGTAGACAGTGGAATGGACCACATGGTCAGGCAAAGCTCATCTCTAGCCCACAACTTCAAGGTCATTTCCCTGATGGACCAAATCAGTAATAAGGGAGCTAATGAGTGTTAGTCCATCAGACTTTTCATGTCCCCCAACATCTGTTAATTCCTGGTTGACTTTCAGAGAATGCTGTGACTCTCTTTACCCTACAAATTTTCACTCTCAAAACTGCCCATGAAACATATTCAAGCAACGGTACAAATTAGTCATAGTGACTCTCTGTTCTGTGTAAATGTGGAGGCCATTTTCCAAGTGAGACCACTACACAGGATGCTGGATCTGGTGTGACAGAGGGAGAAGACTGGCCCAAGGCCCCAGTGCAGAAGGCATTGCATCACTGCAATGGCTCTGCAGGACCAGGATAGGTAAATTTGCCTCCTTTTGCAGGAAATGGGTGAAGCCCAGCTGAAAATTATTACTCAGACGTTTTGTGCTGTGAAGGAAATGTCTTCTGATAGCACAAAGCTATTGGTTTCCTGTTGTGAACTGAGAATTTCTGGCCTGCCCAAAAATGAACAGGAAAGGAAAGGGTGGTTGTCCCTTGGAAGTCCTTGTTTAATGAAAACGCCAGCTCAAGGGCTTCCAGGACACTCCAAATGGGGGTTGGGGAGAGGTCACATTAGTAAGGGAAGCCATGTGAGGGGATCAGCTGTAGTTCCACAAACATTTGCTGCGCAATCCTATTTGCTGGGCACCACGCGATGTGGTGGATATACAGGATGGCTTAGGTGGTCCTCTCCTTCCAAAAACAATCTGAGGCGGAAGCTGATACAAAAATAATTTTTGAATAAACAAGGGTTAATATGTAGCTATCCTAGAATAGTGTAACCATCTGTAGATGTACCTTGGATCAATCTTTACACCTTTTTGGCTCAGGTTCCTTTGTTTATGAGGGTATGGACAAGGAGTGAACTTTCCAAGATATTTCCAGGATAGGAGTAATAACTATTGAGCACAAAATACGTTCTAAGTATTTTCCATGCATTTTCTCATCTAATTCTCACAACAACCCTGCTATACGGGTCCTGGAGGTTTGGAGAGAATGATTACTGACGGTCACAATATAAAAGTGGCAGAGCTGGATTCCAGCATCCCTCTTACCATTCCTACCCCCATTCTAGAGACTCCCTCCTTCAGTGTGGTGATGGGTTTAAATGGTGATGGGTTTGCCATAAGCCCCCATCTGGTCCTGAGTCACCCTTAACAGCTGCATCAACCTGTTTCTTCGAGTGCTGCTGGTGCCATCACTGTCTTCACCTCTGGCCCAGCCCCAGCAAGTTCAGGATTATCTGTGTCCACACAATGAAGTCACTGCCATGTTGGCCTCCTGGAGGGTGACATGGGAGAGCAAAGTTTTCCCCTAGACCTATCCCAGAGGCTCCCCACGCCACCTCATAAAGCTGCATCAGGGATGCTCATTTTACAGAGGAGCTTGAGTAATTAAAGGGAATCAAAATGTAGAAGAAATTTCTAGTGGTTCACAAAACAAAAATGTTCCCACCATCCATATGAAATTACCTCCCCTAGGAAGTTAAAACCCATGAGGGAAGTTAAAACCCATGGTGTGTAATCATACTCCAGCTCTTAGGCTTGTTCCCCTCTCTGAGTTCACTCTTCTTTCTCCTTCATGCTTTCTAATCCTCAGGTGCTGCCAAAAGGTTTGTGGCTTTGCCCTATAGTCTGTCCTCCTCTCCCCTCCTACTAGCAGGACTCACTGACCTGGAGAGAAGGGCAGAGAACAGCCCTGGGGCTTGATGCTGACCGCTGCTGATCCTCTCCCTCACAGCACAAGCCCCTACCTCTCAGTGCTTATCCACCTGTGCACTGCACTAGATGGCTGGAGGGGAAACAGCTTCTCTGTCTGATCAAAGAAATGACAATTCTTAAATGTTTTTTCTTAAGCCCTGGTATACTGCATGCATGTGTTCAACTTAAATATTTATGAGGTTTCAAGTAAGTGCTGATCAAGGGCCAAATACTGTTCCAGGCACTAGGAATTTGGGACAAAAATTAATAGATTATTCCAGTCTTCCAGGACATGGTTCTCAGCCTGATGGGAGCACTGTTTGAAGCTGACAGGGTAGTCTCACTCGCTGGACACCTAATTCCAACCACCCCTCCTTCCTCTGTTACAGAGATCAGGGAGCTAAATACTTGCTCATCTGTCCTCCCTTCCAGCTAGAAATGGCTATGTCTATGGTTCAGGTCAATGCAACATAAATAAAAGTCTGTTGAAAGGTGTTCTGGAAAAGCTTTTGCTATTACATGCAAAGAAGGAACAGATACAGACACAACATTTTTGCTTCCTGTCTGGAATACACACATGATACAGCAGCCATCTTGTGGTGACAAGGTGACAAGCCAGACAGCATGGAAGAAGGAGTAACAGAGAAAGTCCCTACGTTCCTGACGATGCTGCTGAGTGCATTTTCCAGCTGCGAACTGCCTGCTTTTGCATGTTTTGTGAAAAAAATAATCCCCACTTGTTTAAGCCACTGTCTGTAGTCAGAACTCTATCTCTTTAAGACATTCCTAATATATACCTAAAAGAGTAGTGACAGCTATGCAAAAAGTGCTGTACTAAGAGGTCACAAAACGAGTTATGGGAGAAAAGAAGAAGAATGCTCCCAGGAAGAAGCAGCATTTGAGCAAATATTGATGGAGCAACAGGAATTTTTCAGATGCACAAAAAGGCAAGAAGGGCGCTCGACGCAGGAGGAACAGCATGTGCAAAGGCACAGACTGAGGAGGAACACAGCAAAAGAACTACCAGAGATTGGGAGTGCAGATTATGAGAGACAGAGAGATGAAGTCATGGAGAGAAAGACAAGGGTGAAATCAGGTATTCATTTAGACTTTACCTTTGGAGCAGTAGCAGAGTCCTTGATAGCTTGCAAGCAAGAAGATTAAGAGGGGTTATA